AGCCGGGGCTGGGCCGCCCCGCCTCGCAGGAGGGCGACTGCTTCCACGCAAGACGCGGCTGCTGTGGAAACCAGTCCGGAACCAGTGGCCCCTCGAACAGCCGAGGCCCGGACGGGCCCAGCGGACCACTCGGCAGCAAGCGGATCACCCGCTGGGCCTCCGCTGCCGAGGACAAGCCACTTCCAGGCCACGTCACTCTCCCCAAGTCAGAGTCAAGCTCAGACGTCGGACGTCGTGCTCGTCATTGAAGGGTCCTGTATTCTTGCCAGTGGCTTCATCATCGCCATCCGATGGGACCCTGCACAGACTTTTAGAAAGAACTAAAATTGATGGCCGGAATCGACCGTGAGTCGTCTGCAGAGCCCACAGCAGCCAGGGACGCAGGTGTCACAGAGGAGGACGCTGACGTTCAGGGAGGTCCCATGGCTGTCAGGCGGAGTCTTTAAGGAAGGAAGCAAGGGAAGCCCAGAGTTGAGTTTTCTGGGTTTTAGTCTAAGGAGCTCTTGTTAAAAGCAGCTGCATCGCAGCCCCGGAACCCCAGCCTCCGGCAGCAGCCCGCCCACCGTCCCGGGGTGCAGAGGGAGAGACAGGCGTCCAGAGTCTCAACGCTGTCGGGCAGGACTGGGATACGAGAGAGACGCGAAGAGCTCTCGGAACCTCAGCCGGCCTCCCACGCACGGGCACTGCCGGAAGCTGATGGCATCTCTCAGGGGCCCAGGACTCCCGAGGACCTGAAGGGCACTGTGCTTATGCGGTCAGCAAAAGATGTTTTGTTTTTTAACAGAAACTTGGAAAGCTGGTGCTCTTAGCAGGTGATTTTTATTCGGAGTCCTCAGCCCGAGCTTTACGGGAAGGTCCATTTCTGCTCTGGGAGCCTGCGGTGGCTGCTCAGACACCAGTGCTGTGTGTTAGCCACATCCCTGGTGCCTGGGACCCCAAGTCCGGACTCCGTTGGCTGATCCCAGAAAATGAGCTTCCCATGTGCAAATGCGGATCCTGAGATCCGCATTAACCTCGTGTGTTCATTGAATAAATCTGCAGCAAGGGCCAACGTCCGTCCCTTCCCAGATGGCCTGGTGTGGCCTGAATCCCCTTCCTCCAGAAGACCCGGCGGGGCCTCCCTACCCCCACTTCCCGCAGAGTCCTCTGCTCCGACCACGCTGGCCCTTCCTCTGTTCCCTGACCGTGGCGAGGTCATGGCAGCCCGGGGCCTTTGCCCTGGCCGTCCGCTCGGCTGGGACACTCCTCCCCAGGTCTTCACGTGGCTGGACACGCCGTTCAGACCCCAGCCAGACGCGGCCTCCCATCGCTTAGTGTGTTTCTTTGCAGTGTTTGTGACTCTCTGAAATGGTTACTCGCCTGCGTTTGCCTGTCGCCCCGGCTGGAACGTAGCGGCAGGAGGGCAGGACCCTTGGCTTCTTGCTTGCTGTGTAGCGCGGTGTCGTGTGGCAGAGCCTGGCACAGCACGAGCGCTCAATGACTGTCCCTTGAATGAATCACTGGGAAAGGCTGACTTCTGTATTAGTCTCTTATTTAGGTGAAAATATCCGTAAACGTTTGGAGAATAACTGGATCAGAAAGCTCTACGGCAGATTCTTAGCCATGTTGTTTTTAATCTGTTTTCATCCTGACAGATGACGCGCGGTTTGTGGGTCAGAGGGCAGACCTGTTACTCATTCAGGCAGTGATCTCAGCGCTGGCTCCCCATGCCCCAATTCCTCAGGGCGATGTGGGGACACGTGCACCGGGGTGTCGCACAGGGCAGGAGCCCTAAAATCATGACCCGGGGCTTGTAGAGGGCAGCGAGGCCCAACCCTGGCAAGAACAACTCCTGGGGGTCAGCGGGGCCCACCAGGCTTACAGCCCCTGGAATGCGAACAAAAGGCAGGGGACAGAGCCCCCTCAAGCCCTCCGCGGGCCTTTGTCTTTAACCGCCCAGGCTTGTTTAGGGTGGGCCAGCCTTCATCGGAGGAGCCAGCGGCCTGTGCTCAGAACAGCCTACCCCTAGGGGGAATCATGAGAAGATTCATAGAATCTCGTTGCCCAACATACATCTCCTGAATCAGAAAGTACCAGCCCCCATCTTCGAGTGGCTCCCACCTGCCCGGAACTTTGTATGCAGCGTGGACCCCGTGGCGACAGAGCCTGTCACCCTCTCTTGGCGGATGAGGGATTTGAGACTCAGAGAGGGTGAGGGACCCACCAGAGGTCCGTCAGCAGTAAGGCCAGGGCTGAGACGGGGCCTGGGATGTGTTCGCACACTGAGCCCGTGTTCTCTGTCATCTGGGCAACTCGGGCTGGTCAAGTCGAAGGGACACTTTTGCAAAGAGAAACGTCATGTTTTTCTTCCATACCTACCACGGGCACTGTGTCAATCAAGGAAAAATATGATGGACGTGGTCTTTCGTCCCCATGGAACCCACCTTCCTTTGTGAGAGGCGGACATTACACAGGAAACTAGCCAGGGACGCAGGTGCTGACCTGGTGGGGGCCATCTCGGAGGGGATGTTCTCTGGGGCCCGAAAGCTGAGTCCAAGGCTGGCCCAGCCCGACGGGAGGGACGGGCGTCCTGGATGGAGGGGTCTGGGCATGCTGGTGAGTCGAAGGTCTAGGGCAGAGCCGCCTGGACAGGAGGCGGAGTGGGGCCTCGGGAGCCCGGTTGGCCGTGGGGGAGGGGCTGCTCCTACTGCCCCCCCGGCGCTGGGCCCCACAGCAGGTCTGGTCGGGAAGAGGCCTGTTAGCTGAGCCGACGTCTCCCTCACGTTAAGTAGCCGACTGTTCCCATCCTCCTCAGGTCCGTCTTCTGTTCTTTCCTGGACAAGAGGCTGAAAGACGAGAGAAAGAACAACTCTAGGGCAAGTGACCTGGAGCAGGTTTTCTGGCTCTTTGGTGACAGGGGTGTCCCCCGGCACGTCGCGGTCATGGAGGGAAGCCGGCATCGGTGGTCTTCCTGCCCCTCTCCCTGCCACGTCCACCTGGCTGTCAGGCCGGGGGCCTTTGGGAAGGTCTCACCTGTGCACATTAGGGCCACTTGCCTGACCCCCCGATGTGGTAGCTGGGAAACCAGGTGTCCCCAGAGAAGCCACCAAACGCTCCCTCACTGCTCTGGGAGACCAGCCCGTCGTGGGGCCACGTCCACGGCAGACAGCGGTGCTATTTACCGAGTATTTCTGGGAAAATGAGTGCAAAGCGCAGGAAACGCAGTGCAAATTGCTACATGGGACATTTAATGAGTCTGAGAGGAGAGAGATGAATTTCAGGAAAATGTCAATTGTGCTATGTAAACGAGAGGCTTCTCCGTAAGACTTTATTTCGGTCTCTGGTTACAACTAGAGCTGAGACCCTTCAGAGCTTCGATGCTGCACGTCAGAGGCGCGAGGTGGCTGTGGCTCGGAGGTTGGCAGAGAGCCCCGGGCCCCCACGTGGCCCATTCAAGGAGCACGGAGCTGGGGCTGGTGCACGTCCGTGATGAGGCTTTTGCTGCAAAAACTGGATTCTCGGGCGGGGGCGGGGGGCAGGACTATCCCACTGCCAATGGGTGTGGTTATCTTGTCAAGGTCAGGGGAAGATCAAGGTCAAGGTCACCCTTGTCCCATCTCAGGCAGCCACATTCTTCTTGTCACCAAGACCATGGAGGGACCTGGAAAAGGGCAGCCAGAGTCTTGTCCACTTAAACCCGACTCTTCCCCAGTTCAACTCATGGTCAAGTACAGTTGGGAAGCCCCCAGGCCATGGAGCCTGCTGCACGTTCCCATTGGGTCAGGAGACGTGCCCAGGACGGCAGAGTCTCGATCTCTTGTCTCCCTTTGTCTGCAGTCCCTGACGGCATCATCATGAAGGTGCTGAGCAATCGCCTGACCCAGCACGACTGCATCCAGAAAGGGTGGGTGATGTACGGCTTCCCCCGGGACCTGGACCAGGCGCACATGCTGAACACCCTGGAGTACAAGCCCAACAGGTGAGCTCTCCTCGTCCGGTCGGGCCAACACCTGCGCCGCCTCCAGGGCCTCGGCCGACGGGACCCACCCGGCAGTTTCCAGTGTATAAGAGCCTTCGCTTGTTTCTGACGTAGAGCGTCTCACCCATCCCCATTCCCGGCCACCACCCCATTTGTCCTATGAACTTGGAGGCTTTGTCACCTGGCTGGACCTGAACTTCCCCACCTGTAAAATGACAGTGCATACGAACAGTCTTCCCTTCCTCATGGGGTTGTCGTGCAATCGACTGAGATTTTCTTCTACTATTTTTACAGTTTTGTTTTTTACATCGAAGTCTTGGATGCCTCTGACATTTATTTTGACATGGATATGCAGTCTAATTCTTTTTCCCCAGATGGTTAGCCATTTGTTCCAAAACGTCGATTATCGTTGAACGTACTGTCCTTCCTTCGCTAACTTGAACTTGAGAGCACAGCGCAATCATGGCCATTGTGGAAATAAACAAAGACCACCCCAGTGAAAACGAGCAAAGGCTATTACGTCAGAGTTTGCTCTGACGGGGGTGTCACACGCCTCCTCCCTTTTGGCAGTGACTCGAAGGCAGGCAGAGGATCAGGAGAGCATTTTAGGGGAAAAAGGAAACTGTTTGGGGTACCCTGATGGAGACTGCGGGTCCAGGGGGGGGACTGAGGTGGCCAACTAGAAGTGGGGTGTCCTACATGCTTGGTTAGGGGAGCGTATTTCAAGACGTTTTCATTCTAAACTTCTATGTTCTTGCATATTAGAGAATGTCTTTCTGTTATCTTTATTTGTAAACACCTAGCAAAGTAGAGAATTCTTTGGGCCCATTCCTTACCCCTCAGCGTCCCGGCTCGGTTCTGTACTGTCCCTCTGACACCGCTAGGGTTGCAGCAATGTCTGAGGTTGTACCCATTATAGATAATTTGCCTCCTCTGTCTGGATGCTCATAGCATGTCTGCCTGCCTGTCTGTCTGTCCGTCTGTTTATTTACATTCAGCAGGCCTCGTCTCGGTCTCGGTTCTCTTAATTACTTTCTGTGGAACATTATGAATCTTTTCTAGTGACATTATTTCGGGAGAACTTTCTTGTACTACACAATTCATATTTTTCTGGTTCCTTCGCTCAGAGTTCTTATTCAGGAAGACCAATTATGTGTGCGTGTTGGATATTTATCATCTGTTTCCCGTAATGATGACTTTTTTCTAGCAGCTTTTATCTTTTTCCTCTTCTGTATTATTTTCTCAAATCTGTCCTGCATGATAACTTTATTTTCTCTCATATTTATTTCTCGTGGCTTCTAATTTATTTTTCATTTCATGCTTTTCTGTTTCCCTTAATTTTTTTCCCCTAACTTTGTCAGCTTTCTTTCATCTTTCTTACTTTATCTCATCATCTTTTCTTTGACTTTTTAAATATCAGAGGCTGTTCTCTCTAAATTATTTTGAGCACGTTGATAAGGCTTTATCTAAAATATTATCTTTCCTGGAATAATTCTTTCAGGCAGTGGTCATCATCTCTCTGTCTCTCTCTCTGTCTCTCTCTCTCTTTTTTATTTTAGGACTCTTTTTGGTAACGTCTATACCTAAGTCCCAAGATGGATACATTTTGCAAATCATTTGTCTTCGAATAGGCCTGTCGTTTGTCTAAGCATAGCGCGAGCTGGTATGTCAGTATTCTATGGCTGCTGTAATGAATCGCCACAAACTTGGTGGCTTGAAGGACCCAGCGCACTGTCTTATAATTCAGTGAGGCTAAAATCGCTATGTCTGCAGGGCCGCCTTCCTTTCCGGAAGCTCTCAGAAGAATCTGTTTCCTTGCCTTTTCCAGCTTCTAGAGATTGCCCAGTCCTTGGGTCAGGGTCCCCTATCTCCAGGGTCAGCGATGCTGGGACACACTGACCCTCTGTAGTCACGCCTCCCTCTGACCAGAGCTGGGAACGGTTCTCAGATTTTAAGAACCCAGGCAGGAGGGGTGGGGGACACGTAATGAAGCCACATCAACATCCTGAGCGTAATTGCATCTGCAAAGCCCCTCTGGCCCTGTAAAGAACCGATTCACAGATTCTGGGGATTAGGAGGCGGGCCTCTTGGCGGGAATGTTATGGTGCCCTCCACCCTCGGGACCTCCCAAACCATCTTAACTTCTATCCCTGGAGTCAGGGCTGGAGAGCTTCCTGCTGGGGGCCCCACAGGCCCCAGAGCTTCCTGTCATACACTCGGGTGGTGGCCGAGTTTCCAGGGGCCTCAGCCCCAGAGGCCCGGTCCACCCTCCATTCCCGGTAACATATCAGACTCCGGCATCAGCAGTTAGCGTCTGTGCGAACCCCTCACCCACTTGAAGGAGAAAGACGGGGAAATGCAGAACAAACGGCCCCCAGGGAAGGCTGGGGCAGGCCGTCGACAAGGTCGGGGGTAAAATCCCAGTGCTCATTTTTCCAGAACCCTGAACCCCGAGGGGAAACACACCTGTTTCATTGACTGCCCCCACCCCCACCCCCACGCACCCTGCCAGGACTGTGAGCCCCGCGGGAGACCCCGGGTTCATTCAAAGGCGGACAGGGAAGAGTCCAGGCGGGAGAGCCTTCGATGGAGGGCCGGCTTGCAAGGGAATGGAGTCAAAAATCAATTTCTAAAGACTTGGTAAATAATGCCCATTTAATTTATTTGACCCTCGGGCAGAGGACGGGCAGGGGAGAGAAGGTGTTTGCTTGCAGTGCAGATGGACTCGCATGCGCTGTTTCCTGCCCTGCCTATTTCTCGCCCATCCCTGGGGGTGGATTTTCTCTCCTCCCTCATCTCCGAGGGGTTCGTTTCCTCCAGCTTTGTGTTCACTTCCACGTTTTAGTGATTAATTCCGGAAGTCATTTTAGCCGGAAACCTTCAAGTCCAGATGCGGGCTTAGGAAGGAGCCCACCGAGCTCTGGGCTGGGTACCAGGGCTGGAGCCCGGGCTCCGTCACGAGGCCAGTTATACAGGACTCCGGCCGCGGTGTTGCTGCTTCGGACACGACGAGGAAATCTTGACAGAATTATAGTCTAGAAATCAATCTGGGAATACGATACGGAAATCTATAATTCAGATATGAAAACAATCTGCAGAGGCTCTTGTTTTAGGAGGGTTGGATGAAATGAGATTAAAATAAATTTACATATATATCAATTTTATGATGAAAATATCGTCGCGCTAGTAAATAGAATTATTGGGGAAGGGCGAGCCGCTCTGTGTATTGGATACAGAAATAGACCTCTTTGGTTTATCAGAAAGCAAAGTTATTCTCTCCTTGTCAGATATAAATCTCTTCTTAGATTGATAGCTGATATATAGCTAATAAATGGGCGGTGTTTTGCTTGACTCCTGCCCCATAAACCCACGGTGGGTAATGCTAAATTATTTCCCTTTGAGCAACATCAGTCTCTTGATCCCGACATCACACGGAGGGAGAAGCAAATGAGGGAATCGATGTATCAAAAAGAAGGAGAAAAAGTTATTTGAGAACAAATAAAATGGGCTATAAAGTTTGTTAAAAACGTAATAATAATAGTGAAAAAATTAAAAAGGGAGAAGAAGAAAGAAACAAAGAAAGAACTATCCAAGGCTACACCCGGAGACCCACCCTGTGCCTGGCTGCGAAATAATTCATCTCATGCTGCAAGTTTGTAGCCTGGCATTTTCTTTTAAAATTAATGTTTGCTCTAGAGAAGGGAGCACAGGGTTCTGACTGATGTCGGGAAGTTTGCAGCGCATCAGACAGACTGGATGTTTTCTTTCTTTCTTTCTTTTTCTCTTTTCTTTCTTTTTTGCATCCTCCTTCCCCTCTGTGCTGCAAGGAGCCGCCGGGAAAGCCACGGCCTTGACCCTCCTCCCCCTGGCTGCGGCATCGGGCTGGGCGGGGCAAGGTCTAGGTTACGTTCCACCGCCCGGGCCGGGGTCAGAGCCGCTGCCCCTGCTGCTCCGCGTCTCAGAAATCCCTGGGAAAGAGGGCTGAGCCGGTGGCCGTGGAATTCAGCAGACCGGCTGCAGGATTTTATTAGCGTTGTGTTCTGTCCTATATCGCTTTCTCCATTCCGCCGATTCAGTTTCGGGACTGTGAGGAAGTCACCCAAGGGTGATCTTTTAGACGGGCTCATTTGTATCCCAGGTCATTGTGTGCAAATTGGGACATGCTCTGTAGGTTCCTGGGAGACTCGTTTTTGAATTTTTATTTATTATTATTTCTTAAACTAGATGGTTGTGTGTCCCACGCCCAGAGGAGCCCCGAGGGGGTTCGGTTGTCCCCGAGAAAGCAGTGACAGCTCTCTCCTTACTGCGTTTGGCTCCCAGTTGGTTCTGGGGCTGTCGTTGGCTTTTGCTAAGCAGACAACCCTTTCCTCCGAGGAGGAGATGCAGGCTGGCCAACACGGCCCCCGCCGGGAGGGTGGGGGGCAAGCCCGGCCCCTCCACACAGGCGGGTCTGGAAGATTCCCAGCGCCAGGCCCTTGAAGCCAGCCCTGGCGGCCCCGTCCCAGGCTGAGGCCGGCCCAGAATGTTCTGTCCAGGTTGCTCCTGGTGCTGACAGATGCCTTTCTCTCCTTCCTCCCTGGCTGTGCTCCGCCCCCGTTCTGCCTCGTTCCTGGGTGAGTCTCTGAGGTACTGTCTCTGCCCCATCATCTTTAACCATCATCCTCATCCTCAAGAATGACGGTGCTACTGAGTGCCAGTCACGTGCCCGCTTTTGGTGAGTCTCTGAGGTACTGTCTCTGCCCCATCATCCTTAACCATCATCCTCATCCTCATCCTCAAGAATGATGGTGCTACTGAGTGCCAGTCACATGCCCGCTTTACATCTCAGTTAATCCATTCGAGCGCCCCAGAACGTAAGTCTGCTCAGTAAAAGGCGCCTGGGCTCCAGGAAGCTGCGTCCACCGTCCCTCCCCCCCGGCCTCGGGAGGGAGACCAGCCCTGATGGCAGCTCTTTGCCCTGTTCCTTCGTATCCTTTCCACAAAGCCGTTAACAGTTATCC